CCCCATGATCTGAGTTTCGAGCAGGACCCGAATCCTGCTGGGCCCAGATGCCTGTCTCTCTTCCTCGAGAAGAGGAACAGGCGAGAGCATAGTTTTCTAAGCAGAAAACTCTCACATTTTGCACAATCAGATCCCTCAAGAGCTGGTCGAGCTTGCTCTTCCCCAAACAGTAAACGCACAAGTCGTGCGTGTCATTTGAATGAATAAGGCATTTATATAGCGCTTTCATATGTACTACTGTACATCCAAAGCGTTTTACAATCATATCAGGGGTTCTCTCTCAACCACCACCAGTGTACAGCATCCACTTGGATGATGCAACGGCAGCCACAGTACAACGGCGGCAGTGGGCTCACCACACACCGGCTATAGGTGGAGAGGAGAGAGAGTGATAGAGCCAATTCAGTGGATGGGTATAATTAGTAGACCGCGTCCCCAGTGCACCGGGGTTACACCCCTACTCTTTTACAAGAAGTGCCATGGGATTTTTAATGACCTCAGAGAGTCAGCACCTCAGTTTAACATCTCATCCGAAGAACGGTGCTCTTATAGACTGAGGTGTTAGCTGGCCTCACTAACACGTCTGCCAGCAGCACCTGGTTTTTCTCATGAGTTGTCTCATCCAGGTACTGACCATTCATAGGGAGGAGATCAAACTTATGGGTATCCACCTGGATAATGGATCCACACCATTGCCATTATTCAGGTGATTATAAATCAGAAAATCAAAACACTCCCTGAAGACGAAAAAGAGGATGACATGTTCTCTAGGCGCCCCTTTTATACTTCCCAATAGCGTCATTGACACAGTGTGAGTTGCCTTTCGAAAGGTAATTTCTATATTTGCGCAATTTCAATTTGCGCAATTAGAACGGTAATGAAAACGTGGCTATCTTTGGGTAAATTTTGTCCAATTGTACAATGTTTTTGCATATTTGGGAAATATTTGTTCATATATTTGGTTTAGTTTTGCACTTTCTAAAATACTATTTTCCTTGACTAAAATGTTTGTCTAAAATGAATAAATATCACACGGTACATTTTTTAATTATACAGGATATTTTTCTAAAAGACAAAAAAGGAAAATTAACAACTGCCTGGGTACTACATCTGGTTCTTTTCTTCACTAGTCTGTTCAGCCCATTTGAATGCTTTTGCAAATTGATGGGAAGCTTCTATTGCTAATAGTATAATGTTGTTTTTAACTTGTTTTACCCCTAAGCAAAGAATAAAGAAGAACTTTGCTGTGAGTATGTGTATCTGCTGTGAGTGCCTTTAAACTTGAGGTAGTTTGCAAAACATGGTTTAAGGATTTTGCTCATCTCTTCTAGGAGGAACAGTACAAGGCTTGATCTCCGATCTTTTAGGAAAGCGAGCTCCTGTGTTGGTAGTCAGTTTGCTGCTGGCCATGGGAGCATTAGTGGGATACAGCCGTAAGTTTAGAAAAGAATCTGAGTACCATTTCAGACACTTTCTTTTATTGCTTACTTTGAAAAATGACAGCTTAATAAATGTTTTTATTTATTTATTTATTTTTTTCCTTTTTATTTCTTTCAAATGCTTGCTCAGACTCTCCAAATGACCAGATTGTGAATGGAGCTCTACTAGCAACGACAGGTGACACATTATAATACACTGAAAACGATTTTTCTGAACGAAGTCAACAGTTATTCCTCCTCCCTATCTAAGAATTTATTAACATTTGAATATTTCGGAATTATTTTATTTCAGGTTTCCTTATTGGAGGCCCATCAAACATGATCAGTTCAGCAATCTCTGCAGATTTAGGCCGACAGGAGGCGCTGCAGAACAGTCAGCAGGCTCTGGCCACAGTCACAGGAATCGTGGACGGCACAGGCAGCATTGGAGCTGCGGCGGGACAGGTAATGCATTGCTTTGATTTTTTTTTTTTTTTTTTTTGTCTTTGGTTTTAAACCATTAACTTAGTGTCAAACATCAGATTTTTTTGGAAGTTAAAAAAAAAAATTAACCTTGCTGTATTAATGTGGCTCATGAAGTCCAGAATAATCTTTATGCTGCTTTAATAACTTGTACAAAACACTATTAATCAATAATGTCATAGCCCTCTAGGAATAAGGAATAAAATCAATGTATTTTTTACTCTTATTGTAAAAAAGTCACACTGCATTTTAGTTCTAAGTGTGATGTTTATTTTGTATTCAAAGACATTATTTTTATTATTAGTCACAGTTGGGTAAACGTCTATAGCGGTGAATGGGAGATAACAGCAAATATAATTTTTGCTTTCCCGTTTGCTTATAACTAAAAGAAAAAAACTGCGTTTCCACAACTTTCCAAAAGACAATAATAAAATAGAGAGAAATTGATCACAGCAGTCAGAAGAGAAAAATATTTGCCATTGTATTAGAAACACCCTCGCGGCAGCGTAATCATTTACTGACAAGGTTGAATTATTGGACACCCAAGGTGGTGATGCGGCCACAATGCAAAGCTGATTATTTTCTAATAATTCAATGGACTGGGAATCAATTTTTTCGCTTATACTACGGTTACCACACTCAAGACATTGTCCAAATGTTGCATTTCAACTCCTTAAACCTGTTTTTTGTCCATAAAATTGTCCATTGTAGAGCTAGTGACAGAGGCTTAAGCCATTTATTATAGCAGTCTAATGCAGTAATTAAAGAGAGGGAGAGAGAGATTAATCGGGTGTGAATTACCTGAGAGTCTGCGAATCTCAACAGTGTTTCGGCACCAGCGTCTCTACAAATTGCAAAAATTGTAATTTATTACCGAAATAAATTGTATTGTAAATATATTATCTCTGGAAACTGAGAATTGTTTGTTGTGCTTTCCATACATAATAAAACGTTATTTTATGGCAAAATAGATGGAAATAATTTGACATGTTTATCCTTCTATATTTAATTTAAGCTTGTAAGCTTGGTCAGTGTCATTGTGGGTTTTGGTTATTTTGCTGTTGTAGGCTGTAAAGACCTTTTGAAATAACTGAAATCTTTTTCTTTAAAAAGAAGAAATATGAAAACATAGATGATGCTAAATTTGATGACCGAGGAAATGTCATCAAAATCTGTGAAAAAGTGTCCATTATTGTTTTTGTGTTTTTGCTGTTAAAACTGAATGTATAAGTACTCATTTTAAAAGTATTTCTGTCTTTTAGTACCTGGTGTCGCTTATTGAGAGCAAATTTGGATGGATGTGCGTCTTCTATTTCTTCATAGTCATGGTAGGTAATTGTAATGTTGCAACAGTGAAGCACTAAAGGCACATCCTTTTATTAGACAAAATTATTTAGTGAACAGAGACTCATTTTTAATTGTCAAATTAAAGGCGAAGTGTAATTTGTGTAATTAGCATCACCAGACTGAATTAATAAAACAATAAAAAGGACCAAAATATGAAATTCTTGCATCAGATTAAATTGTGTCCTATCAAATTCTCTCTAGAATAACAATGTACCCCCCTTTAAAGAGCCCCTATCATAGCATTTGAAATGTTCCTATTTTGTTTTAGGAGTTCCAAAAACAGTTTAACGTGCATGCAAGGATAAAAAAAACACTTTATTTGTCTTATAATATGCATTTATTTTTAACTGATTTGCTCAACAACTCCCGTTCGACGATTTATTTTCCCAAACACCTTCTTGAGTGACGCGAATCTGCGGCTATTGGTCAAATGTTGGTCAAGTTGTTATTGGTAAACCGTAGGCAGAGACTGTCGGCAACGGAACGCCCATAACCAGGATTATAGCTTGTCAAGTGTTGAAAATTGTATATAGGGTTTGAACAAACGTGTCAGAAAAAGTGCACTTTCCACACGGTCCCTACTCGTGTCTCCGTCAAGAGCAAGCTTTCCCGGCGAAACTCACATTGCGGCGGTGCTTATTATATAGAGCGGAGTCATATTTGGCTAAGTCGTTTAGGAGGTAATTGCCATTTTTCAATGAATGTCTGGTGAATATCAAAAAATAAAACTAACTTTACCCCACTTAGAAGCTGCGCGGAGTGTACACAACACACACAACAACAATATAACTATATTGTACATGCTACAGAAAACATAACAGCAAACATTATTAATATTACTTACAGATTGTGATTCGGAGGAGGACGAACCTGATCCATATATAATACACTGGATACTGAGCCCTCCTTCGGGAACAACCGGCATGCGAATGATTCGTCATTAAAATGATGAGAACACAAGGTTCGGGCTATAATGTTGTGGGTTGCAAATATGAACTCTGACCACTGATTCTTCACATGCTCGTCCCTGGACAATGGAAACAAGTGGCTGAACGGTCTTTGCAATGTAGAACACAGCGTCTTCTCGACATGATGCGATTCAGCTGAAGTATTTGAATGTGTTCTAGACGTCACTTCAAGTCTGCGCGTGCAGTTGTTGGGAGCGGCCAATGACCTATCTACGTCACGACGTAACAGCTAATGACTCGTTTCAAAAACAATTTATTTCATAGACTCAGAGTCGACTCTCACTTTTGAAAGACAATAACTTTATATACGGGCATTTTCAGATATAAATCTTTGCAGGATGTTTTCATTCCCTTAGAGCTATATTCCACACTACATGAACAGTCATTTTTAAAAAAATCCATGATTTTTGCTCTTAAATGGCAAGCAGAAAATCAGGCTTCATATAGTAATATAACTAAAACGTATGGGCTATACTTAAAAAAAACTAAAGGAAGGGCGCAATCTCTTTACTGTGTCCAATCCAAACTTCGTTTCAGTAGCAAAAAGAAAACTGCTTATTCAAACCATTTCATGGAGCTTTAAGGTTGTATACGATTTAAACACTGCATAAATGAACATGATCTTCTCCTTAATGTGCCATCCATCTACTCTAAAGTCAATTCTGAAAGCTGAGCTGAGCAGATACTTCAAAGCTGCAGTCTGCAGTTTTTCCTCTTTGTTGCCATTTCTGTTTGAAATCTGCAATTTCAGTCATTAGCGGAATTATCAACTTTTCGTGAGTTGTACCTCGACATGGCACTGCGTGGATGAATCCAATGTTTTGAGGAGAATGTACAGCTGTCAATCACTGCGCTGATGTCGATACCGGCATCACAGTCCTTGCTTATCCTTGTTTTTCGCATAGTTCCGGTTGCAGTCTCCTTTTTCAACTCTCTCCAACGTCTTTTGCATGTTACAATGGGTGAATCTCCAGTTGTCATTGGTGATTTTCGTTTGAACCTTTCTGGATCCGCCATCAAATTAAAAGGGTTAGTTCACCCAAAAATGAAAATTAAGTCATTAATTACTCACCCCCATGCTGTACCAACCCCGTAAGACCTTCGTTCATCTTCGAACACAAATGAAGATATTTTTGATTGAACCTGAGAGCTGGATCAGTCCTACATAGACTGGCCTAAGGGACTGGCTCTTGACGGCCCATAAAGTCATTAAAGAAAAGTAAATATTCCATGTGCCTACAGCGGCTCAATTATAAGTTTATCAAGCGACGAGACTACTTTTTGTGTGAAAAAAACATAAATAACGACTTAATTCAACTATTCCATTACTTCTGATGGGCGCATGCGCGAGAACTGAGACGAGGACGTTCTTCTCCTTTGACTACTTTTTTAGTATTCTCGTCGCTTGATAAACTTATAATTGAGCCGCTGTAGGCACATGGAATATTTAAACCTTTTATTTAATGACTTTTTTGGGCCGTCAAGAGCCAGTCCCTAGCAGTCTATGTAGGACTGATCTAGCTCTCAGATTCAATCAAAAATATCTTTATTTTTGTTCCGAAGATGACGAAGGTCTTACGGGGTTGGAACAGCATGGGGTGAGTACATTAATGACTTAATTTTCATTTTTGGGTGAACTAACCCTTTAATAAGTTTAATTATATCATGTGCTGTGATAAAAGGCTATAAATCTCCACCTCCAGCATCCTCACACTCATGCCTACTAGCCGAGGCTGCTTCTTTATGTGTACAGATGTGACATAATGATGCAAAGACAATCTCGAATTCCCTGTGGAAATCCTCTTGTAACCACTGGAATTAAAAACATTATTACAAGCTTACAGCTTTAAATCAAGCTAAGGCAAGCAGATAACGTTGAACACTGGCTGCTCATATATTTTCTCAAACATTTATTTTGGATCTTTTTAACCCAAAAAAGTTAAGAAGGACCTTTACCATTTGTCTTTCTCTCATCCACAGACAGGGTGCAGCGTGCTCTTCATCATTCCACTCCTCTTCCGTGAAATGCGCTCCTTATGCCGCAGACAGTCAAGCTCGTACACATCAGCTCTGAGGTCATTCGGGTGACTTCTTTGCCTGTATCTTCATTGAAAATCTGACATTTTGAAAATACAGACTTGCTTTTGCTGCACCTCTTATTTAAGAATGTTTTTTTTTCCCCCTGAAAACAGAAACCTCATATTTAGTCTGACTACTCTACATCAAGGCATTGTTCAGACAGGCAGCAATTCTGTGTTTATTTTTCCTGTATTCTCAGCAAACAAGAATAAACCTATCCTCAAGTAATTTCAGTTATGAAGACAGTGAATGGTACTTAAGGTCTGTTTCTGTTTTATTTCTGTGTATTGCTGTGCCTGTACTTTTTTTTTTTTAATTAATTCTAATTTTATTTATTGTTAAAGGGCAGGGCCCTCTTGAGTTTAATTTATGGTGATTATAGCCTGATTGAATGTTGTATGAATGGGTTTGTAATTTGTGTTAAATATGCACCAATTTTTTAATTCATATTAAAAACACTCAGTTACACTTTAGTGTCACATATGTGAAGTGTATAATGGAATTTTTAAATGTAACACTACAGTTCAGCAATTTGGTGTTTTGTTTCGTTTCAACTATTGGAACCTGTGCAGGTATTGCTTGAATGTTTGAATTGTGTGATCCATTGTTCCTGCATATATATAGTAACAACAAATTCAGGCAAACAACAAGATCAATGAAGATCAATGTCGAAATATTGATTCAGTCAAAGATTAATTAACAGTTTTTGACTGTTTTTACTGAGTTGTATGTCAATGCTAACATTCAGTAAAGTGCACAAACTCATCTTGTTTAGTTGTATTCACTGCAGTTTTCTGTTTATCTTCTTTTTTCAGTCAAGTGATAACTGTTCAGTGGCAAACATTTTTTGCATCCAGTCAAACCTATCCTTATGAAACAACAATATATGGGAATATACTGAAAAATGTGATATATTACATATATACAATACATTTCCATATAAAAAGGACTGGATGTCTTTCTAAAGCTCTCATACAGATCTATGCGGCGTCCCCTAGAGACCCCAAAACTATTTCTAGAAGATGCGGAGGGGCAGTGATCTCTAACCTCCAAAACTTTGGAACAACTGCAGGAACATTTCCCACAAGTGCTGACGAAAAGCCTCTGCCAAATCTTACATACTGGTTAAATATACTGCAATATATGCTTGGACCAAGCATATATTGCAATATGTATGGTTATGTTCATACGTATAGTCCTGGGCTTAGTTTCCCTAATGCGTCGTAAGTATAAATTGGTCAAAGAGCAAGATCAACTTAGGCTTACAATGCTTTTTGGAAATGCAGGCCTGGTCAGAGTTATTGGGACTACTGGTAAATATGAACGATTGGTTCATATTTAATTAGCAGTTGGTTTCAATAGCAGTTGGTTTGCCCTGAAAGTATTTCTGTCAAACCAAAAATGTCACCACGTCTACAACATTGACAACTTGTTAGTGGTGGCCTACATAAAACGCCAGGGTGGCATCAGGTCAGGCAACCTGCATGGAATGGCAAGAGACCTCCTCTTATGGGCACAGACCAATCTGAGCTCTCTGAAAGCAGCATATACAGTATACATGGCATTCAGAATCTAGGTGAAGAGATGTTCTCACGGGCCAACACTCCCCTAGTGGTCTCTGAACTCACAGACGATCAGTCTGATATGGAGTGTGTTCTGAGAGGCTGAAATCGCCTTGCATGGCTGACACCGCCATCGGTGTATGAATGAATGAGTGAATAGGTGAATGTGAGGCAAAAAGCGCTTTGGTGGCCATTGGGTCAGCATTTACCGTTTTTCTGCCCTATCAGAGAGCTGAAAATCTACCTGGAGTGTTCTGTGACTTTTATACAATCAGAACAGTTTTTTGTCCAAGGATGATTTAGTGACTAAGCAAAGACTCTAGATGGATAGTGGATGCCATTTATATTATATTGATATTATATCGTATATATAATATTTAAATTTATTTGATATAGCTTGCATTGGAACAAACACTAAACAGTTTGATTGTTTTTTTTTTTTGACAAAAACATACTATAAATTAAAGAGTAACTAAACCCTAAACCAACTTTTTTTGGTTAATGATCTGTAAGAATGGATCTTTATTACAGTTTTTCTCGATTGCTTAACACATTTCTTGAAAATATGCCTCTTATTCTCAATACAATTAAACACAAATCCATAATGTCTCACCCAGTTTCCCAAACAACCTATTTTCAGGTCAAAAATGAAACTCTACATTCAAAACCATTCACTCTTGCTGAAAAACCAAACTTTGCCCTCAGACAGGACACACAAGCCCTCAAAATAACACACACTACAACATAGTCTGGTGCAATACAGCCCATTCTCACCCCCAAGGAGTCACTTAACTGACGCCTTGGGAAGCATTTGGACATGCTTCAATATCTGACGCTTTAGGCGCCCTTTAGCGTCAGTTAGATGACGCCCTAGGATCGCGTGTACCCTACCCCCACCCCACACCTAAACCTAACCGCGTCCTCTAACTGACGCTTTCCTTTAGTGTCAGTTAGATGACGCCGTAGGATCGCGTCATGTAAGTGACGCTAAAGGGCGCCTAAAACGTCAAATATTCAAGCATGGTCAAAGGTGACGCCTTGGGGTGAGAATGCGTTGTGCAATAAAGGTGCAATAAAGTCAAAACAACATTTCCAAAACTGGTAAGTTATGTTACTTGTGGTTCCCCTCCTCACAAACCTTTTCACATGAGAAAAGACACAACCAATGGATACATTAGCAAATTTTTATTCATTCATGTACAACACAGTACAACACACACAAAAAATAAATAAATAAATAAATAAAGATTATTCCGCCTCAGCCTCCTGTCTTTGGTCTGGGTCAAGCCAGAGAATCACATCCACATCAAAGGCTATATTAGCCTTAGCCAGGCAGCAGGGGTAAAATCCTCTTGCCTGATCCACCCATTTTCCTGTTTTTCTCCCTGAAAGTTCTGATGATGGAGGTGACGGTGAAGCGACTCAAATGGCTGTACTCGTTGTCTAGCCTCTCTCATAGTCATGCCATGGCAAGGACATGATCAACTAAAGTGGCTCTAATTTCATCCGAGACTGCTTGTCTCCTTGCTCTTCCTCCTCCTGCTCCACTTTTATGCCAAAGCTCTGATCGCTAATTGTAAAACTGTGTGAAATGTGTTTGCACATGTGAGTCAGTTTAAATATGTGAATGGCAGTGTGTTCCTCATGAAAACAAGAGATTTTCTGCATGAAAATTGTGCCAAATGCAGAGAATTGTGTAGTGTTTTGAAAAAAGTGTGTTTTTGAACTGCAATTTGAGTGTAAAGCAGGAATTGTGCTTGTAGTTCAGTAGAATTGGTTCAGGGGGTTGGTGAATGAGTTACATGTTGTGGTCATTGTGTCTCAAGTACCAGAAAATGTGTGTAAACAAGCAAGAAAAACTGTAAGCAATTGAGCAACTGTAAGCAAAAAAAACGTTTTTTGACATTTGTGAATAAAGTGTTTTATTTCTACAATATATGGTGTTAAAACATCTTAGTGCTGCCCTCTTGCGGATGAACGGTGGCTACTGCAGTTGAATTTTCCTATTGGATGTTCCGCACTTCGTGACGTACGCAGGTTTCAGCTCACCACGCTCTTGGTACGAGCTACGCCCTTGACAGAATAAAAAACAGCTTGTTTAGTCAAAACCAGTCAGGAGTTGGAATTGCGAGTATTGAAAACGATCAGGATAGAGTGTTTTAGCATCTATTTCGTCCCCTCTATCTTCGCTGGGGTCTGCCCACTTTTTCAGCATTTTTCAAATATTGCCAGTGGGTGGAGTCAGGCTCTGACCAGGGGTTTAGTTTCCCTTTAACATATGAGCAGAAACTGTCTAACAAAAGCTTATTTGATGTCTATTTTAGAGTAAAAACTTTATAATCTATCCAAAACTAGTCAACAAAATGTTGTCATTACAGACACTTTTCTATATAATAATTAGAACAAATCTCAGTAGGCTACAGCAATATAGTTGCTATTGAGAATGAGGAGTTGACGTCATTTTACAGTGCCCCTCCCCTTTCCGCCATGTTGGTAGGATTCCCACGACAAAACAGTATTGATTACGTGTGTTTTTAGCTCGGTAGTAGAGGAGTTTCTCGCAATAGCGCACTGTTTTACCATGCATGGAAGTAACTGCTGCGTTAAAAACCGATAAAAACCCTGGTAACCGATAGCGTCTCCTACCATCATGGCCGACCGGCTCAGACCCCGCCCAAATAGGCACGTGACTCCTCATTCTCAATAGGGTGTATGGTGAGTGAAGGTTGTGCGCAGGCATGTGGACTTGGTGTTGTTGCGTGGCAGTGCTTCACATTGGCACCTAGCCGCATGGAGTGCATACTACATTGAATTTCACACACTTTTGCGTCACCATATGCATGCGGATTTCCCACCCATAACAACACTCGTCTAAACGCAGAATAAAAAGCTATAACGCAACGCCACTTTTGCGTTTTCTCTTCAGAATCGTTTCCGTGTAAACATAGCCTTAGACATTCTAGTACTACTAACTATAAGTTACTTAGCAACTACATCTCAACTAACTCTCATTAGAGTATTAGTAGACTGTTAGGTTAGGATTAGGTGTTCAGATAAGTAGAAAAGTAGAATAAATTGACTTGTAGTTGGCAACTTACTAAAGTCAGTAGAAAATCTTTTGGGGGACCATCAAAATGAAGCATTACAAGATATTAAGCACACAGGCTACTAATACTCTAATGAGAGTTAGTTGACGTAGTTGAAAAGTTACACTTAAAAAAAATATTTTCAAGATTAGTTATCACAACATTTTTTCTTATGTCAAATCAACTTAAATAATTTATTTAGTTGAGATAACTTATTATTTTAAGTTTCTGATGATTAAATCAATCTCCTTCATTGCATTAACTCACTTTTTCCAGTTCAATCAACTTAAAATTTTAAGGCAACCAGGTTACTTACTTTTTTTAAGTTAAACCAACAATATTTTTTTACAGTGTACTTATAGTTAGTAGAATGTCTAAAGTGGACTATAGAAATATAGTGTTACCAAATATACTGTTGTATCTTTGATGTTGTGGGCCTGTTTTTCTGCCAGATGTCTTGGATGTCTTGTTCTGATACACAGCATTATGGATTCTATCAAATAACAATAGATAAAAAACCAAACTGACCGACTTTGGCCCAAAAAAATCGTATAATGTGCCGTGGTTGGATCTGGTTAAGACAAT